TGAGTGAAACAAAGGGGGAAAAACTACTTAAACTGATAAGATAAAAATTGTATAATAATGACAAGAATTACCTTATAATTTACTCACCCTCAAGCCATCCTCAGTGTGTCATATGACTTTCTTCTTTTAGACAACCCAGTCGGAGTAGTAATATGTTTTATCTTGGATTCTCCATGCTGTATAATGATGTTGGGTACTAGTGGACCTTTTTTGAAGCTTCCAAAAGCCATCATAAAACTGAACCATGCACCACCAGCAGGTTAAAGAATGTCTTATGAAGTGGATCGATGTGTTTTTGTATCAAAAAATTAATTTTTTTATTTTTTACTAAAAACACTGGCTTTCGATGGATGTTGAATGCACATTCTCAACAAATTCCTCGAACTCTGATGGAGGACACATTTGTAGCAGAAGCTCTGGTGAGAGTAGATGAATGAGTATAACTAAACGCAATAAATAATTGAAAATGGGAAACGAAAAGTTAAAATGTCAGAGGATTTACTGCAATTTCCAGTGTTCAACATTTAGGCTTCTAGTCAATGGTTAATATGCAGCTGTAGTCTCTGGTTAGGCTTTTTATACAACTGATGTTAGACAATTTATGTTTATGGAACTAAACCACAAGCTGCAGACCATGGCCCTGTTTCAACTAATACGTTTTAGTTTTAAAAAAGGCGTTTTGGAATGAAAATGATCCACGTCCACACGGGCGTTTAGCACTTCTGAAAAAATCTTCGTCCACACTTCACCGCACCACACCTACACTGTCGTGCGCTGCAGCGTATGCGGACATCTGAGCTCTAGGCAGTAAGCAGGTGCTTTGAGCACAGCTCCCCAGATGAGAGCAGCACACGTTGGACAGTTCATCAAGGATCTACCGCTGGATATCATCTCAATATAGTTGTTAAACGTGATAATTAATCAGTTTTGTGTATATCTAACAAGTCTTCGGTCTTTTGAATCTATTACTTGTTCTCAGGTATTGTGTTTTGGTTGAGCGCAAAGATAAGTCAAAATATTATTTTGTATAACCACGTACACTGATTCTGCCCGTTTGACCTATTGCTTGACTTTATTTCCTATATTGAATGAACTCATTGCATGTTACACTTTTATAATGGCCATTATTGATTATTAAAATTGATATTCAGCAAAAGAGAGGGTAAGTTTCATAATTTTTCAATGAGAATGAAAGGAGGCAGTTATGTTATATGCTCTGTTTTATAAATATGTATACAGTGAAGATGACAGTCATATAAATATGTAGCTACACGCCAACTCAACATTTTTTGGTGTCTGTTAAGTTGTTAATATCAAATTGAAAATAGGCAGTTGAAGTTCCTTATATCATGTTTTCATTTTATTGTTAAGATGTGATGCGTATGAGGTTATACAATGCACTGTTCCCCTTGAAGATCTACACGATGTGTCCTTGGGAGCTTGCTTTCCATTTCAAACTTGCAAAGTCTGAACTTACAGGGAAAAAATTCAAGACTGAACTTTGTGCACTTAATATTAGCCATGCTTCCACTATCCATTAAAGCGAGCGTGCAAGGGAGAGCCAGGGCCAGTCGCATTTCCACTGTCACTTCCAGGGCCTGATCGGGCCAAAGGGGCGCTTCCTTGGGGCCAGCAGCCGGCCTTTTTCAGCCTGCCGAATACCTTGGGCCAAAAAGGGCCAGCTGGGACTTTGGGGCAGAGTGAAAGGAAAGGCAGAGTTTGCCCAAGTCTGGTAAAAATGGCATGCGGCCATTACACTAGTTTTCCGATCGCACACGAGTACATGCGGCAAACAAATAAATAAATAAGGAAAAGAAAAACATGGTCAGTTAAGGACCACCTATTCTATAAATTTTGTTTATGATTCCCCTTATGTTTTTTAGGGAAAAGCTCCAATCAGATGTCTGCAGCCACACCTCTGTTTTCAAATGTCTCCATTTACCCCCCATCCACACTAACGCGGAGCAGTAGCGTTTTAAACCCAAAATGGCCTCTTCAGCATTTTTTAAAACGCTCCGTTTTCAGGGCTGGAAAACTTTGGGGTAGTGTGGACTGTAGGCATAACTGTAGGAAAACGTATGCATTTTAAAACTAAAACGGATTAGTGTAGACGGGGCCTATATGAACATTATAATATCACTCACTCACTCATCCTATCATTTGGCTTAGTCCCTTATTTATCACAGCAGAATGAACCGCCAACTAATCTGGCACATTTTTTATACACTCTCTCATTCACACACATACACACTCAAAGACTGTGGCCATTTTATTTTACACAATTCACCTATCCCGCATGTCTTTGGACTGAAAAACCAGACAAACACGGAGAGAAAACACAAACTCTACACAGAAATGCCATCTGGCCCAGCCGGGACTCGAACCAGCAACATTTTTGCTGAGGCGACAGTGCTAACTACTAAATAAATATTATTTTAAACTCATATTAAATATTTAATAAAATATTTCAATATTGTGCATCCCTATAATTATCATTAATTTATATAATATTATTTATATATATATGTAATATAATTAATCTAATTTATATAATAGGTTATTGAGTTAAAATTAAAAAGCTTTACAAAATTACTTTAAGCATTTTGGGTTTTGGTTTTCGGCCAAGTGCATCCAGAATTTTCATTTCAGCTCATCGCTAAATATTTTTGTTACAAAAACACACTCATCTACTTCTTAAGACATGCGTTGACCCCCTGGTGGTAAATAGGTTAGTTTTAGACAGATTTGTGAAAGCTTCAAAAAAAGTGACATTTCCCAGCACCATTATACAGCATGGAAGAGCCATGGTAAATTTAAAGGGGTGGTCCAAAGTGTAATTAAGGCTTGGTTGTGTTTATATGATGCAAAGCAATGTGTGCTCATGCTTCATTTGTTAAAAAAAAAAGAATTCAACTTTGATTTTATACAGCTACTCAGCTAACATAAAAAACGACTCATATTTCCTAGTTCCTCTAAAAGTCCTGCTCTCAAGAGGCTCTGATTGGTCACTTAAAATAATGTGCTGTTATTCGCAGATCAGCTCCACATCACTAGGAAAAGTGTCACGCCTTTACAAGCACATGTTGTGCCTCGGCTGTATAAATACTGTCAGTCAGAGTAGCTGTTAGCCATGTAAGTTTCAGCCTGAATCAGACAGAAAATGAACAGGACACAGCTAAACCTCACGCCTGCTCTCTAAAATAAAATCTGACAAGTGTCCTTTACATATATTCGGAATAAGCATGTGTAAGTAATATGAAACATTCACATATCTTTTGTGAGTTCATTATTTGAGATGAAAAACGCAGGGAAAGTGGCTGAATAAAGAGACACTGCGGCGCTGCTGAAGATTGTGGCTGTTTACAGCAGTTTGACGGACAAATATAAATTTGTAGCTACATTGTTAGTGGTGCCAAACAGCATTTCCTGTTGTTTTCATCCTTGTTTACATCCTTGCTACAACATACCATTAACGGTAGACACTGTGCATGTATTAGATCAATTTTAACCAATAAAAACACTTACAGGTTGTGGCTCACAATCCTTAGCTTAGTCTATAAAGGTTGGAGCTGCTTCTCCTTTGAGGAGTTTTTAGCCAAATCCAGCACTGAACTAAGAGAGATTCTAGAAGCTGTCCTTTGTTAAATGCTAGCTATATTTATTTTTTATAATTTTCTGGAACATATTTAAGTTAAATTGTAAACAATTCTCTTTATGCAGAAACAGAACAAGCTCTGAGGAAATTTGGACGGCATTTTAGCTTTCTCTGCTATAACATTACAGCGCCTTTGGCCACACCCCTTCGCTGCATGATGTAAATGCATGTAACCTGAAGCATTTAGCTCATTAACCTGGATGTATTTTTTTGTTGTCCCCTGTAGGCTTTGCTAAGCTAACTCTGTAAAAGCAATGTCTCGCTTTGCATTGAACTTTGAGCGTATAACATTCAGGGATGTTGTTTATGTTCACATAGCTACATTACACATTAACTAAAGTTTATATTATGATATCGTAGTGGACCACCCCTTTAAAACTACTCTTGTTCATCTGAATGAAGAGTAAACATTAAGGATGGCTTGAAAGCGAGTCAATTATGGGGTAATTTTACATTTTTGGTTAACTGTTCCTTTAATGCATCTTCTACAGTACATAGATAATTCACAAAGTAGAGTTTGGGTTAGATGCTACTGTATAAAGTTCACCTGGTTCTTCTCGTCCACTAGGATGCTGAGAACCTGAGCACTGTCACCTTGCTCAATGCAAGTACTTCCAGCAGCAGTGAACAAATCGTAATCTTCTGGTGCGAAGCTTTCATCCTTGACTGTTTGCTGCAAAAAGAGTGAATACACACGTAAATGACTGCAGGTGATTTAATGCGAGTGTACTGGAGCACACATTAAGACACTTACACATCTCTGGACCATATCACTGAGCTGATCTAGAGCCATGCTGATGCTCCGAAACGCCTTCTGTATGAAGATAATGTGATGTTACAGTCACTCTAGCAGTATACTAAAGCAGTGATGGTGCAAAGACAAGCTCGCACTGACGTCACGATCAATCATGACATCTTCATAAAAAGCAGTTCACTGTCACACACAGTCCAACTCAATCATCATTAAACACACACACACAGAATAACACATATCGAGATGATAAAAGCAAAACATTCATAAATGGACCTCACTCGTCCTCAAAGAGATGTCAAACTGCTTCTTGTAGGTTAGTTATTAGCAAGATAGCTAACGTTAAAATGCTCTAAAGGACTTGAGTTCGTTGAGAGAGAGGAGAACTAAACGTTCGCGTAGTTTTGTTTAAGCTAGGCTACTGCTTTGTTTTGTGAATATTATATAGGTCTACTTAACGACATAGAAATTGAAGGAGCGCGCTTACTCAGGTTCTATACTTCAAGCAGCGTCGCATGTTTAGAAACTGAAGCGGATTGTGCTGGATGAAGCGTGTCACACACGGCTTGCCGTAGTGCTCCGATGTAAGCGGAAGGAGTTTTGTTTTGATAAAACAAGCATGGATGCCGGTGAAGTGACAAGAAAGAGTCGGCCCTCAAAGTCCAAGAAGAAAGGTGTGGTATATATATAAAGTTACATGGACTTTTTCATTTATATGTTTGAATTTTAACAAAATGTTTGTACGTTTAATCTGAATTTTAGGTGGAAAGGGAACCCAAGCTATTTCAGCAGAGGATGAAGCGAAAAGGTGTGCATTAACTTCACTTGCACTTGCACTTGATTTTGAGTAGTAATTACATCTAGATTAAAGATATCTGGACTAACTTTGAATCTGGCTTTAGAAAGCCTGACTAGTTAGTTTACTGTAGTTTTAATCGCTTATGAAACGTTAAGGGTTTGTGAGTAATATAAAATATAGATATGTAAATATAAATATGTAATATAAAATGTATAGTACATTGGCATAACAGTTACTGGCTTAAGTTATTATACGTTAGTTATTACAATCGGGGATGGGAAGTATTTGTGATGCATGTATTTCAAATACGTATTTTAAATACAATAGTATTTTGTAATTTGCCTTTGATTAGGTTCATGAAAAAGGCTTAATATTTTGTATCAAAATACTTTAGTTTCTTGTATTTTTAAAATGCTTTGTAAAAAGTCTACTTGATGACATGATGGCTTTAGATTAGATTAGAAAATTTATAAATATTGGAGTTGATCAATGCTTGGAGTATGGATGAAAATTCTGCATCACATATAAAGAAAGTAACAGACAAATAGCTGGGGTAAATGCAGGAGCAGGTCAAAATCAGACAAGAATATAAGACAAACAACATAAAAAGTGGCGATACCTACAAAAAATAATTGGCTGTTTCAAATGCCAGTAGCTGATCTGCAGGTGCTCTTTATAGTTAATTACTAACTTTAACATAATAGACAAAAATATTAAATAATACTCCAAAACTTCCTAATTTTTGAGATATCGTGTTGATATGGTGTTTTGAAGAGTACAATTGCAAAAAAAAAAAAAAAAAAAGATTTTTGGAAATTACTAAAACTGGAAACTTTTGTAGTTTTCAGAAATCATGATTTTATATTGAGTATTGAAGATTTCAATTGCAAAAATGTTGAAAAATATGACTTTTAACAGATGGTTGCAATTTTCACAATCAAGAGATATAGTATTCCAACTCATCTGCAATAAATGGTTTTTACCTAAAGTTTGTTAAAATATTAATGACAAAAGAAAATGGCTTGCTCTACAAATATATAATTTATTATGGCAAGAACATTTTGGAATAAGGCTGTAACATAAAAAATGTGGAAAAAGTGAAGCGCTATGAATAGTTTCCAGATGCACTGTATGTGTATAAAAAGTGTATAGCAAGTAGTGATGTTCGTTTCACAAGTACTATCATTAAGTGCTCCTAAGATAGATTGCTTGAGGGAAGAAACTGTTTCGGTGTCAGGCTGTTCTGGTGCATAGTGCTTTGTAGCATTGACCAGAAGTTAAAAGTTGGCAGGGTGAGGCTGTGTGCTGGGTGTGAGGGGTCCAAAGTGATTTTGGCAGCCCTTCTGCTCGCTTTGGATAAGTACAGTATTTGTAAAGTCGGGAGGATTGTACCAGTGATTCGCTCAGCAGACTAAACTATTCAGCGTAGTCTTCAGAGGTCAGATTTGGTAGCTGAGCTAAACAAGACAGTTATTGAAATGCAGTGGACTTTAGTTTCAATGATGGAAATGTAGAACTGTTTCAGCCGCTCCTTTGGAAGGTTGAACTGCCTCTGCTGACAAAGAAAGTACAGCCTTTTTTGAGCTTTCACATTGCAAATTAAAATATTTAAAACCTTTGATATAAAGTGTAATGTTTGCAGGAGGGAAGCTGTTAAAGAACAACTCCGACAGAAGCTTGAGTTGGAGCGTAAAGCCCGGCAGGTGGTTGAGCGGCTGTTGGAGGACAGCGTGACAGAAGAGTTCCTCATGGACTGTGTAAGGCACTTATTTAGCCTCCAAACACTTCAGATGGATATTTAAAATTATTTGTTGTGATCCATTGAGAGAATGTCCTACTTTTTTTTTTGTTCTACTTTAGGCCTGGCACATCACTCCTGCCAACTACAAAGACACTGTGGAAGAACGATCCATTGCTAAACTGTGTGGATATCCCATGTGCCCAAATAAATTAACTAATGTAAGAAGTTTGTGAATTCTCACACTCGAAATTTACTAAAAAAACTTCAGTTTTTTTTTTTTCTTTGTTGTTATTGTTCTTTCTTTTTTATTAATGGTATTATACTAATTCCAGGTGCCCACTCAACAATATAAAATATCCACCAAGACAAATAAAGTCTATGATATTACAGAGCGTAAGGTGTGTTTTTCTTTAATTGTTCTCTTTTTTTCTGTATTTTATTAATGATTGGAGATTAATTAGTTGTTCTGTGTGTGTTTTTTCCCCCAGTGCTTTTGCAGTAATTTCTGCTACAAAGCCTCCAAAAGTTTTGAGCTCCAGATATCAAAGATTCCACTTTGGCTTCGAAAGGAGGAGAGGTAGTGTATTTGTTAATTTAATTGTCAATTAATTTATTACTAGAAAACTGTTTATTTGAATTTTTAAAACATTATTAATGAAATTTATTCAGTATACACAGTCTAAACATAAATACTAACATATTTTATTTAATAGTAAATATTTACTGTATAGTTTTAGTATATTTGAAACGTTTTGGGTCTAAAATATGTAATATTTTGTAAAGAAATGTTCTTTGAAGAATGAAGTTTCCTTTGGACAAAAACAGTCTAATTATAGACCATTTCAATGTGGGGATGTCATTGGCCCATGAACATTTACTGCTTGTTATCAAACTATTTCAGAACTGTTAACAAGAGGCACTTCAATCATAACTTAACGTTAAAAAAGCTTTTTTAATATTATTAATCCACATGTGGCTCTTTTTGAATTCTCGGAAGCTACAGAAATTAAAAATGTAAAACTGGAAATACATTGGGACTATTGTTTTTGTTTACATCGCTCAAAATGGTCTTTAACATTGTAAAATATTATTACAATTTAAAATTGTTGCTTTCTGCATGACTATATATACAGTGGAAGTCAGAATTATTAGCCCCCTTTTTAATTTTGTTTTTTATTTAAATATTTCCCAAATGATGTTTAACAAGGCAAGGAAATTTTCGCAGTATATCTGATAATATTTTTTTTTCTTCCGAAGAAAGTCTTATTTGTTATATTTTAGCTAGAATAAAAGCAGTTATTAATTTTTAAACACCATTTTAAGGACAAAATTATGAGCCCCTTTAAGCAATTTTTTTTTGATAGTCTACAGAACAAACCATCGTTATACAATAGCTTGCCTAATTACCCTAACCTGCCTAGTTAACCTAATTTACCTAGTTAAGCCTTTAAATGTCACTTTAAGCTGTATAGAACTGTCTTGGAAAATTCATTTATTCATTTTCTTGTCAGCTTAGTCCCTTTATTAATCCGGGGTCTTGGAAAAAATATAATTTACTGTCATCATGGCTAATTATTAGAGATGAGTTATTAAAACTATTATGTTCATAAATGTGTTGAAAAAAATCTTCTCTCCATTAAACAGTAATTGTTATATATATAATATATACAGTAATATATATATATATATATATATATATATATATATATATATATATATATTAGTCATTTTTTTGTCATTCTTTGCACTGTTTTTAATGTTTTGGAGGAATCTATGATTTTTTTTTTTTCAGGATAACCCTTGTGCACTGTTCGAATTTACTACTAATTTTTTTATGTTGGGATGAAAACAAATACTAAATTAAACTGCTGTAAAAATGCATCATATAAATATTTAGCAATTTCAATTTATTTTGCATAAGTCTGTTAACCACCCTCAGTCCTGATTTGAATTGCCAAGTTCACAAATGATGTCACCGATTTAGTGAAAAAAAAAACACAAAATGATGTATTATTGATATAAAAAGTTATTATTGACTGGATTTTTTTTTTTACCTTTTATCACAATCTTGGACATATGAATAATGAGTAACAATATTGGCTTTGATGCATTGTTAGATTTAAATTTTTCTCCCTTATTTACTGTTGGTGGCTGCTTTTCACCATTGACTTCCATTATAACCACATTTGATGGTGTATAAATACACAGTTCTTGTTTTATTTGCTCCATGTAGTTCTGACAGCTGAGATGCATATTTTGATTTTCTCGGACACATCAAAGTGAGATGACAAAGTGTCATTCACAGACACACATCCTTACACACATCCTCACAAAGGTCATTCACAGACACACTTTAACTTGCTTTCATGCTCTTTAAAATCCAGAAACTAAGCTTTTTTGCACAGGCCTGCTAAAGAGTCAATGGTGCCAACTGATGATCAACAGTAAAAATTACAAATTGTACCTCTTCCCAACAAGGAAAAACACAGACAATCAAAACTGCATAATTATATAGTGTCATGGTTTTGTAATCAAAAATGTGGTTCTAATGGAAGTCTATGGCAAAATTAAAATGAATCAAAGGCAATGTTGTGTTTCACATGTATAAAACTTTGATAAAAGGTAAAAATAAATTCTTTGTAATTTTCTAAGTAATTTAGTAGTTTTGATCAGGTCTGAGGTAGGGTTGTGACGATGAGGAAATTTCCCCACCGGTTAATCGACATGTGACAACACCGGTAATACCGGTATCACCATGGGAGTGGGCGTTTCTTCTTTTCCTTTTTGTTCTGCTTTTAAATAGCTTATAAATGCGTGCGTATAATACTTCCACTTTCAGTTTTGCGGGAGTTGCCAATTCGGCTTCAATTGTTTGAATGAACGAAAAGGAAAATACAAAAAAAAAATCACTGTTATTAAACAACAACTTTTATTAACATAACGAATAAAACACAACAATGCTACAGGCTGAAAAAACTGTGCAAGTTGGAACCATACAAATAACAACCAAACGTCTATATTATATATTAACAGCTTAGTCCTTATGATATGAACAATCCGTTTATAAAATACATTATTAACGAATCTATAGGCTATTGAAGAATAAACCGAATGTAAAATATGATCCTTGCATAATGATCACAACTAAACAAGTTGCCACTCATTTTAGGCTATATATAAACTATAGGCTATATGGCACTCATTGTATATATAAACTATATATGGCACTCAATTTATATATAAACTATAAAGAAAAAATAATAATGAAAATGTTAAGAAATGTAACATTATTTAAAAAAATGTAAAGACTACAGGCTGAATAAAAGCGCCTTGTCAGAGCTAAACATCACCGCACACATGTCAGTTTACAGCTTCTGTAAAGTTCAGACATCATATACAGATCACACAATCTCAATAAACAACATGTAAATTTATAAATATTTCGATAAGTATTGTTATGGAATATTTATAACTATATGATCTTGCTTTTTGGTTATGATACCAGCTTTGATCTCACTTAAAACGGCAGTTACAGGCGCTACATAAGGGCGTCTCACACTGTCAGTGGCGGAGTACACGCAGCACTGGCAAGAGGTTTTATTTGTTGCAGATTTGCGCGTTGTTCCTTTTTTTAAAAATAGGCTACCTTTTATTTTTAAAATCTCTCAAGTTAATGTTGTCTATCGAGTAACATAATCTCCCTCGGATTGGAGTTCGGTGCGCAGTAAGATGGACAAACACCGCCCTGTAAATTAACACACCGCAGCATATTTTTATTAATATTAAAGCACATTACAACAAACTAGCCACCCTTTGAATTTTTTTCCTTTATGTATATTTTTATCAAACGAAAAATGCAATGAATAGTTTATTTTGGTTTTCATTTTATTAGAAATATAAAATTTAAAGGCTGCGTCTGGATGACAGCGAGAGAGAGAGAGAGATGAGATCAGACCTCAGATTCCATGTGTGGCCGCAAGTCTCAGTTACTTTATTGCAATTTTTAATATTGACTCATCTAAATTAACTTTTCATTTATTAAAAGCCGAAATATTGCTAGAGAGACGAAGCAACTTTCGGTTTTTGAAGAGGGCGTCCTCAGTGATAAAAGACGCGCGCACACACAGGTTTGCCCACACTCTTGTCGGCCTATCTTTATTGATTTTTTTAATATTAAAAGCATAATAACCAAGTGTAAAAAAGAACAGCTGAACTTCGGAAAAAGTGCTCATTTCTGTTGCCGTAAGTTGCTTTGTTTCTCTGCAGTTGGCTTATTAATGACGCGGCATTGCTAAATCACTCTTGTTTTGATAAATAAAAAAAGATAATTTAATATTAAACATTGTGAGATAATGGTCACGTGATTTTTTAAAATGAGAGTATGCGTTGCGTATTTATGGCTATTGATCTTATCTACCCGCGACCCACACATAGTTGAACATCAAGTGTTGAAAATGAGTGTATAAATTAGTTGTGTTTCCTCCAACTGCTGCCACCTTTGTCAGGAAAAGTTTGCAGATTGTCTCATTACCGTCTTCAGGTTCTCTTTTTGCATTTGGTTTGAACCCAAAATATAGCCAAACAGGCGCTTTTGCATTGCGTTTTGACACTTATCCGTCCCCCATTCTCTTTCTGTGAATTCGACTCCTCTTGTTCTCTTGATGTGAGAAATGAAAAATGATGCATTGTAGCTATGTTCAGATGATAATTATAGTGCATGCTCTCGTCTTAAGTAAATTATTTAGAATTATGTTTCCCATTTAGCCTAATTCAAATAAATATTTAAATAAAAAAAACGAATACTTAAAAAAAAAAAAATGTGGGGACGGTGTCATGGTGAAAAAGTGATGTCACCGGTGTTGCGTCTTAAAACCGGTGTCATCGTCAACACCGTCTATCGTGGCAAGCCTACCTCAGAGTGGAGGAAAACATCCCCAATAGTACATAAGGGTTAAAATGGCAATCTTAACATTTAGTAAAGGACTTGACTAAGCAATTTAATGGATTTTTGCTTAATGACGTTTAATTTTTTAAAGAGAAAATCTTATTGACCCCAAACATTTGAATGCAATTTGTTTTTGTTTTCTTCTCTCTCCAAAAAGTCCACCTGAGATTAAGCTGATGAAACAAGGAGATGGGTAAGTACTTGCTGTTTCTCTTTAAAAAAAATTATTTAACTTAAGATGTTTCATGAAGGATTATTAAAAAAAGAAAAGATATTATACTTCTGTAAATGAACTAGCCATTTTATTTTTCACCGGTCCACAGAGGCAGCTCAGGACAGGAGATAAAGCTGATTGACAAGCCTATAACAGAAGCAGACATCGACAATCCCATCGAGGACATTCCCGAGTCTAACAAGGACTTGATCCAGGGTGAAAACGGTGACATCGAACAAGACTTTGTCTCCAGTGTGGTGTCCAATCAGCACAAACAAGTTCACTGGGGAAAACTGCCAAAGAGAGATGAAGTGAGTGAAGATGCTGCTGAATATTCACATTCAGAACATGAACAAAGAATCAATGGAGAAAATAAAGATGAAAGCGAATCTTCACAAACTCCTCAACCACAAAAAGACACAACCGATCATCCTGCACTGGAAAAAAACGCCTCTGAAATTGAAGGGACTTTGGAGCTTTTGAATCAGGATAAATCAACCCAACAGGAAGGTGAAAACACAAGCTCTTCACAGCCTGAATCTGACATCTCTGTTCCTGTGGCTGGCGACCTGAACATTACTCAGGTGGGAATGAGTAAAAGATCAGCTGCGGGCCTCAAAGGCCTGTTGAAGGATCATCATAAAGCTAAAACGGCTTCTACAGCCATCAGTCAGTGTCTTCTGGAGCGTCTACGGCAAGCCTTTATAGAGTGGAGAACTAAGGAAACCATGATATTTCTTTATGGTCCGGATTACGCCTCAGGGATGCAACTGTCTACAGCAGGAGCATGGGAAGAGGAGCAGTTGGATGAAGATGACCTGGATGAGGCTGAGGTGGGCGTGAGATCAGCTGAAGGAGGACCTTCCAGAACCAGCGCTCCAGTTCCTGATGTGGAGACTCTGAGAAAAGAGACAGAAATGTTGGAGCTGAGAGTGAGGGAGTTTTACAAAGGAGTGTGTGTTCTGCCGGAAGAGGTCGAGACGGCCGCTGTTAAAGAGACTGAACACACACAGGTGAGGGCTTTTGAAAGTAACATGCAACATAATACAGTACCATTTGAAAGTTTGGTGTGTTTTGATTAAAAGTGACTGTAAAGCGTTCTTAATGTAGTATTTGTGAAAGAATCCTAAAAATATTTTTCATTATTTTAAAATAATTTGACAACATAATGGTGTCTGACAGTGATACAACACGATTTTTATTTTATAACAATGACAATTAAACAGTATGCTGAGTGTGTTTTTGTAATGTATTTTAACAGGTTTAGATCTACAATAGATTGGGGCTGCACAATATTGGAAAAATCTAGCATTGCAATGTTTCTTTTTTTTTTTTTTTTTTTTTTGCGATACAGTTTAAGTCAGAATTATTATCCCCCTTTGAATTGTTTGCTTTTTTAAATAATTCCTAAATGATGTTTAACATAGCACAGCAACTTTCACAGTATGTCTGATAATATTTTTTCTTGTGGGTAAAGTCTTATTTGTTTTATTCTGGCTAGAATAAAAGCAGTTTTAATTTTTTTTAACACCATTTTAAGGACAAAATTATTAGCCCCTTTGAGCAATATTTTTTTTCCGATAGTCTACACAGAACAAACCATTGTTATACAATAACTTGCCTAATTACCAGAACCTGCCTACTTAACCTAATTAACCTAGTAAAGCCTTTAAATGTCACTTTAAGCTGTATAGAAGTCTCTTGAAAAATATCTAGTCAAATATTATTTGCTGTCATCATGGCAAAGATAAAATAAATCAATTATTAGGGATGAGTGAGGGATGAGTTATTAAAATTATTATGTTTAGAAATGTGTTGAAGAAATCTTCTCTCTATTAAACAGAAATTGGGGAGAAAAAAAATAAACAGCGGGACTAATAATTCAGGTGGGATAACGCTTCTGACTTTATATTGCAATATGAATACAATTGCACCAGATGACTTAATATCTCTATTTGGAAAGAATTTATAATGTTTGATATTTGCATGTGTTGCGAGTATTTTCATGCATAACAATCTGTGAATACAATATTCAAGTACAGTAACTAAATGATAAAAAATAAAAATAATTCAATAAAATTAATCTTAGTTCAGGTCACAAATGGTAAAATTTCTTATACTGAATGTTTTAAAAGCATTATAAAATCACAGGCATCAAAGACACAATCAAATGATAAGTTATAATACAAACTCAACTTTGCATATCCTGCTTTGTGACTATTGTGAATGATCACATTGCTACATCGATGCTGAAATGAAATATTGTGCAGCCTTACAATGGATAAATAAATATAACACTAAAGCCAGCAGTAATTTTTGCGAGTGCCTGTATTAAATAAGTAAGCAATTAATTAATTGATTGACATTTTCATACAAATGAAAAAGGATTCTGCACATTTTTTGGTAAAACATTTATTTCATAATTCATCTCTTCATATTGTCTCTCGAATGAATTGAGAGCATTGTTTTTAACAGCAGATGGTGCTGTATTAGGGTTGTAGCAATACATCTTACGATTCTATATCAGCTGAAGTATTATGATACCTAGTAGTATTAAGATAACTCAGATTATATTTCTTTATTATTATAAAGTAAATAGTCAGAAATACTATATTTTACAAGTTATAATAGGTCTTGAATTTAATTCATAATTCCCTATTTATTGTAAAAAGTATTATTTGCACATCACTTCACCTAAAATTTCTTCTTTTTTTTGTTTATTTTTTAGATAACTGACCAACAAAAATACATTAAAATAAAGGTACAAATTATACCAAATGAAATTTGTTACAAAAATAGCAATTTACCAAAAAAAAAAAAAGGCTATGTGAAGTGGTATAAATTGTTTCAATGTTTCCTGTTGCTATTTCGGGTTTTTCATCTATTGATATATATATATTTTTTTTTTTTTTCAGTCTTATCAGGTAAAATGTTTGAGCATTTTAGTGACGTTCCCGCGTCTAACATTATCTATTGTAGATAGTCAATGAGGATACTACCGTTTACAAACTACAGTGCCACTTCCAGTATTATTACCATAATATCACGATACTACCACATGATCGGTAAACCGTGCAACCCCATGTTGTATCCTGCTCAAACAGCCATACTCTATTTGCACCCAATACCAAAATAATCATTATTAAAGATCGATTTAAGAAAAGATTTATTATATATAAGCGAGAATAGAAAATGCATTTTTAAAATCTCAGAATCCATGCAAAATCGATTTCTTTTTTAACCATTTTTTGCTACTGCTCTATTGTTGACTCAAGTCACTTTAAAAAATGATTAATGCAGGAACAAAACCCCACATTGTTGCTCTTGCTAAATGTTCCACCTTGTTTAAAGGTATTTTTGATTTGACTGAGCTATTAATTTTATATCCAATAAAAATAAAAAAAAATTAGAGGCAAATTTTTGCATTCACAATTTAATTTGTAGGGTTACTCTACGCATAATCTACAAAGCTTCCTCAGCTAGTGGAAGTGCTGTGACTTTTATCAAACTGATATCACAGTTTATTTTTATTAGGTGTCCGTTTTCCTCATGGGTAGTTCATCACATAAAATGGATACTTTAAATGACACTAACTCATCATCTATGCTCCCTCGAGTGGTTTTAAACCGTTATGAGTTTCTTCTGTTGAACACAAAAGAAGATATTTCGAAGAAAGCTGAAAAAGTAAAAAAACAAACAAACACAATGGAAGTCAACAGTTACCAGTTTCCAGCCTTCCTCAAAATATCTTCCATTCTGTTCAACTGAAGAACTAAATTAATAGAGACTAAACAATGACAGAGTTTTCAGTTTTGAGTTAACTATCCCTATAAATCTGAACGCAATCCAATAATGTTTGACAACCACATTTTTAATTGCATTGTTGATATATTCGGTTGATGTGTTTTAAGATAACTGCAAATCTTTTTTTTTAACCAAATATCTAACGTCTACTTTAGACTTGCAGTTACGCTTTCTCTCCTGTAGTGGGTGCTCAATTCAAAGAAGTCGGACGCTACGATAAGAAACAAGCCTGCATCTGTCAGCATCTGTCATTAAAGCCCTCATGTTGCATTTCTTGACTGACACACACACTTATTTTTTTCTCCTAATTCTCCAGGACAGTGGGAAAGATCCCCCTCTGCCTTTGGTTGATTCTCACGCGCAGCACCAGATTCAGAAACGCATTGTTGTGGAGAAGCTCAGCCACAGGTCAGTGTTCACCTGTTGTTGAATCAACGCTTCAGAAATCTTTATACATTGTTTGAGTACAATAATAATGCTATTTAATCCTAATCAACTTGTGCTAAAGCTGTATAAAGGGTTGAAGTTTTGTTTTAAGGTATCTGTAAAGAGAGACAAAAATAATATTCTGTGTTCCCACAAGGCATGGAATTCCTGGAATATTGTGGAATTTCAAAATGTCTGTTGCAGACTCTGAACGTCAGATAATTCAGTTTTTTTTACACAATTTTTGTTTGTCATTTTAAATTTTACTTTTCATCAAAATGTATTTTTTCCACCTTTTTTTTTTATTGTTTCATACATGTAAAATACTAGTGTCTTTGAGCCATACTCTAATAAAGAACTTGAATTAATCTGTTTCTAATAATTCTACATTTATTGTCGTAATGAAACAATTATAGTAATTTTAACAAATTTTTAGCGCAAATAGAGTATATATTACTACAATAAACCAGTTACTGCATTAAAAACGAAAGTATACTACTATATTTAGCACAGTTTATGAGCTACATAGTTAATGTTACAGTATGCTGGAGCATTCATTAACATGGAGTTAAATAGCTATAACATACAGTTGAAATCATAATTATTAGCCCCCCTGTTTATTTCTTTCCCCAATTTCTGTTTAATGGAGAGAAGTTTTTTTCAACACATTTCTAAATATAATAGCTTTAATAACTCATTTCTAATAACTGATTTATGTTATCTTTACCATGATGACAGTAAATAATATTTGACTAGACATTTTTCAAGATGCTTCTATACAAATTAAAGTGACATTTAAAGGCTTAAATAAGTTAATTAGGTTAACTACATTTAATTAGATTCATTTGGTTAACTAGGCAGGTTAGGGTAATTAGTCAAGTTATTGTATAATGGTTTGTTTGGTTTGTTCTGTAGACTATCAAAAAAAATGCTTTTTAAAAAATGGAAAAACTGCTTTTGTTCTAGCTGAATTAAACAAATAAGATTTTCTCCAGAAGAAAAAAAATATAAGACACACTGTGAAAAATTCCTTGCTCTGTTAAACGTTATTTGGCAACTATATATATAAAAAAAAAAACTTCAGTCTCTACAACAGCTGTAAATACAGTATAGTACATTTTACTGTAATATGGCTCAAAAACCCACTTTTCAGGTCGGATCATGATTTGACTATTGGTTTCAATGGCATTTTATTCCTCTCCAAACTAGTTCATAAACAGCAATGAAATGTATTAAACAATGTGTTAAAATAGTTAGTTTACAACATCAACCAGCATAAGTTTTTTTTCATGCTAAAGAATAAATGGTAGTAAATAAGACTGGAAGTCTTAACACATCCGAGTTGCAATGACCCAAAAAATAAGGTGGATAGGCCATTGAAATTCAGCTTTTCGGTCAGTGAAAATCAGGGAATTTGACATTTGGCTTGTAGTGAGAATGATGAGTATTACTCTTCCAGACTTTCGTATTTAACATTTGCTCTCTTTCTTTTCCAAAGCTTGAGAGATATTGTTGGACCCCTTCGTCTAACAATGAGTGATGTCATCAATGATGTAAATAATTTGGTCCGGACATTCAGGTAACTCAACGAAGTGAAGTTATTGCACATTTGTAGTTCTCATACTGCGAATTTGTGCTCTACATTTAACACACACACACACATAGAGCACTTGGGGGGTTTTGTTTGTGGTATTGATTAATCATTCCCCCAACTCCCCCCAACCAAAATTCCTGAATTTGATCCATTAGGCCAGAGCTGCGGTGCAGGTTCAGGGTTAGTTATTACTTACATATTGCAATTACTACAGTTGAAACCAGAAGTTTACATACACTGTATAAAAAAAGCACATAACCATTTAAAAAAAAAAAAAAAAGGTCAGTTGTAATGTGACTAAACTTTTTCTCTTATAGGTAAGTTATGCCGAGTTCAGACTGCATGATTTTAGCCCCGATTTTTTTGACTCGCTGACAAGTTTCGAGAAATCGCCAACAAATCGGTGCTCATTCACCCGAGTAACAACCACACAATGTGAACTATCAAAGACGCCATCTGAGAGAATCGCCGATGAGTCGCCGATGCCTGTGAGAAATTTGGCATGGTGAATATCTGTAGCTGTCAGAGATTCAAATCATGTCATATGAAATGAGTATTGACTGTAAATAACATCAGCAATGGCCTGCAGCCAATGAGAGGGCAGTATCTACTAGACTAGTGTGTGTGTGTACCTGCAGGTCAGCGGGAGGTTGGGGGAGAAGTTAAAAGTGCTCTTTTTCAGTTTATTTGGACCCAAGAAATGGAGGAAAAGCTAGTGTAAATTTGGCAGGAGCACCCTGGTCTGTTTGACGTGTCATGTGAGCATTATCACTACCGGGTCAAAAAATAAAGATTGCTAATTCCCCCCAAACCCAGGTGAGCAAATACATACATTTTCTACCCCATTAAAGTCCTTTTTCTCATTATGTAGTTAATAACAAAATATATACTACATGTTTTTGGTTGTGAGATGTAGTTTGGACGAAGTTGTCGGCAATTCTTCCTATTGTAAAGTAGTGCAATGTGAAACCCATGTCGCCGATCCATCTTGCAGTGAAAACAAAGCAGCGTCAAAACGCTAGCCCAGATTGTCATGCAGTGTGAAAACATCTGTGATGCGATTACTTTGAAAATCATGCTGTCTGAACTCGGCATTAGGATTATCAAATTTGTGTCTGTTATGCTTAATAGCAGAATAATGAGAGAGATTTTTTTAAGAAATTGTTATAACTTTTCTTGAAAGTCAAGTTTACATACAATAAGATTATTATGCCTCTGAAAAATCTCAGATGATGGTGTCAAGCTTTTGGAAGTTTCTGATCAGCTAATTGACAACTTTTGAGTTAATTGGAGGCACAACTGTTGAAAAGTATTTAAGGAAAACCTCAAACCCACTGCTTCCTTTTTTAACAACATGGGAAAATCAACAAGCCGGAATCAACAAAAAAGGCAGATTACAATTTGCCAAATTAAGAAGAATTAGTAGAGACATGTCCTGTGGTCTGATGGTACTAAGATTGAACTGTTTGACCATACTGACCAGTGTTACATTTGGAGGATAAAGGGGAAAGCTCACAATCCAAGAAATTCCATCCCAACTTTGAAATATGGGGGCGGCAGCATGGATGGGTTCGAACCACTGACCTTCTTGCTGTGAGGCGACAGCACTACCTACTGCACCACTGCGTCGCCACGAGTATCAGTGTATGATGTTAAATCAGTGTTTATGTCTGTTTATCAGACATGACCGTACAGTTTTGAGTTTCACGGACCATAAATTTTGATCGGTCATAGAGGTGTTGTCAACAGGAAGTAGTGTGTCACTCTATGAAGATGATTTACCATCCTTCTGAAGGGTCACTTCACCCTCAGATTGAACCTGCTTCCGGGAATTCTGTCTGTGCTGTTGAGGGCCACTAAATCTGAGTGGCTTCAAAAACACGCCTCCATTAAAACTGTGTGAATTTACTATTACGCATTTCCTCAAATAGTTCAGTTCTTTATGACTGACGTCTATGCACACTCACAATTGTATGGTGTTTATCTGTATTTTTTTTAGAAAATAAGCCACGCAATGTTAAAAATTACGTTGTTGAGTGAGAAAATAAATCAAAATAATTGAATTTGTTGTATGAATCACATTTTAGGATTTAGTTTGAAAATAATATAAATTGGTAACCAACTGAGCGACAAATTATAAACGCGAAACAAGAAACATACAAACATAAACGTGTGTTTTAGTTTCTCTTACTCAACCGATTTTTTAATTAGGTTTAAGTTGACACCAAAATAAAAGAATAAAAAATTGCAAGCAAATAGAAATAATACTGGCATTCACTATAAATATTTATTTTAAACATCAAGGCCCGTATTATAAACCCGGCGCAATAAGGCGCAAGTCGTTTATGTCGGGATTTGTTGCTATTTTGTAGACCAGTGCAACCCTAATTTTCATGTTTTGCGCCACGTTCTTTAAATAGCAAATCCATTTGCATCACTTTGTGGACTAATGGGTGTGCTGGTCTATAAAGGAGGTGTGTTGAGGCGAATTGTTGGTGCGCATTGCTATTTTGAAGAGCTGAAATAGACTGCGCCATTGACCAACTAAAAGCAGGTTCAAAGTAGCGCAGAGCACATTAGTTATGCGCCTATGCAGGTTCAACCCTTACACATTGCTTAATACATACAGGATGTACAGCAATACACAAATATCTTTACATATAAAAACAATTAAAGGATTAAAATGTTACAAAAATTATTATTTTCTACATAAATATAAAAACCAATGCCTCATCTCGGGGGGGCTTTTTTCTGTTTATTCATGGCAATTTGCATTTGTATAATGTTATTATTAGCAGAATTATTTATTATATGCATATTTATATTAGGTTTAATAAAAGAAAGTTTAGATTTGTCCTCCTGTCAGATTTTGGAGAGGCATGCAACACCATATGGGGCATAAGAATAGGACGCGTGTTTGGATATAACTCCGTTTTTTTTACCACACTTTGTTATCATTGTTCATTTTTTCGTTTGCTGGAAATTCGAACTGAATTTAGAAATAGTTTTTAAATAAATCTTTAAGCTTAACTAACGAAATTAAATATGCAGGCTAATGGATGTCTTCAGTGGAGTGCGTACAACACCGTTTCCTTGTCCACAAAAGTAAAAAAAGAGTTAAGTAAATTGAAAGTAAAGTGGCCGAATGGAGGAGGCTCATTCTTTATCCTTGTGCAGATGGTATGTGTAACTGTTTTCTCACTAGTGAAGCGTTCCGTTTTTCCACTTAAAAAGTCCGTCATGTAAATAGCAAACGTGCCATGGCGCGAAGCAACTGACTCTTAAAAGGAATGTGAGATGAGACTCTGATTGGACACGCCCTTAATATTTTTGCACCATGCACTTTAGACTTTGCACCTAGATCGTTAAAATAGAGCCCTAAGCCCAAACAATTTGATGAAAAGCAGAACTGAAAATGTATGTGAGAAATGCAGGACACAAATATTCATGTATCTCTCTTTTGGGACCAATCTAAATGTGTGTGTGCTTCAAAAATGTTAGGCTTGCTTTCATGCCATTAATGGTGTTATGTAAGTCACAGCATATTTCTGATGATTAAATGATGTGTAAAATACAGTGAGCTTATTTTTGCTAATGGAGTCTGAATTGTCCTTTTTTGTTTTTCAGATTTACGAACACAAACATTATTCACAAAAGCCCAGAGTGGACTTTAATTGCTGTGGTTCTTCTGTCAGTGTAAGTATAACATGCATTTTCAACACTTAAATAGTAAAATCAGGGATACTAATTAGGATATCTTTGCACAAACCACATTTTCGGTTTAGGTTTTGTGCTGAAAATGTTAACCAAAACAGTGGCGATTAATCACTCGCTTCTATTTTGCATTCTTTTTCATGCAGACAAGTTAGATTACATACAACAGTTAAACATGTCAGTTTCCAGTTTGTCTCCATTTTAATGGAACAATCCACTGTAAGTTAGTTAAAGCAGTTTTTACAAAGTTTTATCATTTCTTTAATCTATTCAGCCAAACTTTAAGTCTGTCTGGAGTACTTTTAGCTTAGCTTAGCATAAATCATTGAATCGGATTAGACCATTAGCATCTCGCTCAAAAAAAGACCAAAACATTTTTATAATTTTCCTATCTAAAGCTTGACGCTTCTGTAGGTCTGTTGCTATTTTTTTAGATCAGTGGTTTTCAAACTCTTTTCACCTAGTACCACCTAAAAAAATTGCCTGACCAAGTATCACCATAATGACCAGTATTGAAATACAGAAGCATAGTAAGCCTAATCAAGCAACCACAGCTCTACACAGTTTAAAAATGTGGCAGATTAATTCCTATTATTAAGAATATTTATAATTGTCCGCCACTTAAACAATAACACTGCAGTGTGCTTACAGGTAAACAAACAAACATTCATTCATTTATTCATTTTTTTGTCGGCTTAAGGCTGATTTATACTTCTGCGTCAAACACCGGCGTATGCTACGGTGCTGACGCATAGCCCTTCGCCGTGGCCGTCGGCATCACTGACGTGCACCTCTCAAAAAATGTAACTACACATCGCAACGACGCGTAGCGCAAGCTCTGTGATTGGTCGGCTTGGTAGCGCTGACGAGTCTGGGCGGGACCGAGAGCCGCGCGAATGGCCCGAGCTATTGTTTACAAGTGTGGAGTCCCGTGAAGGAGCTCCGGATGGAAAGTTTTGTTTTATGTTTACCTCATAGTTAAAGTTGTTGCACGTCCGCCGGTTCATGCCTTAAAATGAGCGAGTTTGAGTCACTTGTACAACCAGGAAGTGTTCAGGAAAAGCAAAACAGAAGCGAAGAAACTCGACACAGAGGAACATTTACACCTCACTGCCAACTAGCGTTTTGGAAGTGTTAATGCAGACCAACAGAGACAGCGCGCAGAAGTATAAATGCACAGCTACACGTGTTGCATGCGCCGTGAGTTACGCCGGTCACTTGACGCAGAAGTATAAACCAGGCTTTAGACCCTTTATTAATCCGGGGTCGCCACCGCGGAATGAACCACAAACTTATCCAGCAAGTTTTTTTATGCAGCGGATGCCCTTCCAGCCGCAACCCATCTCTGGGAAACATCCACACACACACTCATACACTACGGACAATTTAGTCTACCCAATTCACCTGTACCGCATGTCTTTGGACAGTGGGGGAAACCGGAGCACCCGGAGGAAACCCACATGAACGCAGGGAGAACATGCAAACTCCACACAGAAACTCCAACTGAGCCGAGGTTCGAACCAGCAACCTTCTTGCTGTGAGGCGACAGCACTACCTACTGCGCCACTGCCTTGCCATCAAACAAACAAACAAATAAATAAATAAATAAAACATCAACGTTTAATCTAAAATGTGCTTTTAAAAGTTAATAAAAAATGACACTTCTTAAAAAGTAAAAAGAAAACTGCTGTACTTGAATGTAAAGCATTAAAATATAGTAGTAGCCTATTTATCAAAACCTGGAAATGTTCATTGAACCTCATAGATATTCAATTCAATTCAGCTTTATTTGTATAGCGCTTTTACAATGTAGATTGTGTCAAAGCAGCTTCACATATATGGTCATAGTAACTGGAACAGTGTAGTTCAGTTTTTAGTGTTTAAGTTCAGTTCGATCAATAAATATAGGCTGTATGTCATCATATTCATATATTAACTCTTTTTGATAAATTTTTCAATATATGCGGCATGTACATCGGTATGACATATTTGTATATCTAGAAATTAGATCTGCTTATTGGGCATTAGAGTAAGCTTTGTGTGTCAGTAAAGCAAGCGGGATAAAAAGATAGCAGAATAGAATTATAAAATAGGGGAGAATCCCGGCAAAAAAACGGGAGGGTTGACAGATATGCATTAAACGCATCTATACACTGCTTGACCAATACATACATGATTTATTCATTCATATGTGCGGCAATAGCTTGCTGTGATTGAGTGTGACTGAGATCACATCTTAAGTGAACCGTGGAGTTTGTGTCAACCACATACGGAGACTAACTTTAATTATATTCTAGCTCCAAACTTCAAGTGCCGCGACATTTAAATCACATCCAAATCCATTAGGCTAAATCTGAACAAACGAAACTGAAAGCTATGCTGCTTTGCAAAACAAATAACTTTATATATGGAAAATCGCATTATTTTACACAACTATGAACACATATTTGTAGTAATTATTTTACCAATTATGCAAGATGGGGAAATTCCTGAGTTTGCAGTAACTGAAATGCCACCACAGCAGCACTGGTATGCAGAAGGGCTTCCCTAGTGCGTGTCTGCTGATGATGTCTATCTGATAATGCCATGCACTAAACACTAAGCACACCAGCGATCCTACACTCCAGGAAACAGCCGTTGCTGATCAATCGTGTTATCAGATGCATCAAAGGGTTAAAAGTGTGTTCAATTTTTCTTTTATTTTTCTGCGATTCCTCCGTGTACCACTAGACGGAAGCATGCGTACCACAGTTTGAGAACCACTGCTAGATCAATGTGGCTAGGGACAATACTCCCATTCTGGAGTAATAATCAAGGAATTTTGCTCCAGCAGGCGCAATACTTTGCAGCACCCAATATCATAGGCTGTCCCACCTGCCTGGCAACATATGGATTTGTGTATGTCTCCACACTGTTCGCACTGGCAGTAAACGTCATTAGCATGTTCCCCTTATGCAGACTGACTTTACGTTACTACTACTGTTTTCTCGTTGGGGAATGAGACATGAAGTAATCTGACTCTTTCATTTTGTCACTTGAGCTTCAGGTCATTGAGGCCTGCCTGTGAGCGTTCATGTGGCTAGTGATTATCCAGGATCTTTGGCTTTCAAAGCTGGCAATATAAATATTCACTCAAAAGATGTTTTATTTAGTTTTGGCTATTAAAAAAATATATATTTGATTCGTTGATTATTAAATAAACTTTTATTTAGCATTTAAGTGTTTAGATATAATTCATTTAAATCATTTAGGTCTAAAATAACTCTCTGTTTTAATACTGTTATACTAATAACATTGCTTTGATGGCTTTCAGCTTTGATGGCTGAACCTGCACGTTTTTTAACTTTTTTTTTTTTTTTTGTGATGTGCAGATTGATACTAAAGTATCGTTATCTTCGATACCAGCTTTGTGTGTTTCAAAATCGATCAAAATATCCAAACTTTTAGTAATTTGTAGCAAAAATGTATTGTAAATAGAAATACAGCGGAAAGTAACCACAATTACCTTAGTTTATCTGAATAATGCCAACTTAGTTGGAACCAGAGATGTATAGTCACAAAGTAGAATTACTTCACTACTGTACTTCAGTACTAAAAAGCTGTATCTGTACTATACAGGACTATTGTCTTTTTTTCTCCTATTTCCACTTTTACTTCAGTACATATTTTCGATGAGTTTAATACTTTTACTCTGATCGATTTTTTTATGTGCTGCATCGTTACTCGTTACTAGGGGTGTCAAAATTATTGATGTCGTTTCAGTAATAGATCACAACCGGTTATTACGTACTGACGTCATTTATCTCCTCTGCGCGATGTCACAGTAGAATACTATGGCGAAGGAGGCGAGGGCGACTAATTAACGCTCTAACTACAGTGAAGGCGGCACAGCACATGAGCCGCTATTTCGCTAGTACTCTTTACTCTTTAATCTTTACCTCTCTCACTTTGGACTTTTGACCCGCTGGCCTGTTTGTGAGATAACTTTTCCTCTCCTCTTGGCTGATAAAGCGATACTTGTGGATCCAGACACGAGAGTGCCTGAGGTGCGAGTTTTCTCCACTGTGTCTATTACGGATAACCTTAGATAACCTCTTATTATGCGCATACAGACTGTAACCCCGGCTGTTCTTCCCGCCATTGGTGAACATCGCTTTTTTCTAAAGTCGATCGCAGCCCTTTCTGTTGAGCAGGTGAAGAATAATCAATCATAGGGGTGTAAGACCTCACCTGTCAGCGCTCAAAAAGCAAGCGGGATAATATTGACATGAGTTTATTTGCTATAAATGCTCATGCTGTCCTCTGTGCATGTATTGGAGTTTTGTTTGATACATTCAGAAAGTGTGTTTTCTTTGAGCAGGTCAAATTAAGGGTACAGTTCAAAATCTTACTGCTGTATTGAAGAACAAAATTGTATTACAAATAATATATAAAATAAATATATTTAAAAATTTTAATAAAATTAAAATGTTGTGAAGAAAAAATCTAATTCTGTATGAAAAGCATGGTCAATGCACCAAGATATCAAATTGAACCGAATCGAAGGCATGATAATCGTAACCGAACCAAACTGTGAGACCAGAGTAGACTCACACCCCTACTTGTTACAATTCTAGACCTTTTTCTTGGCTGCTGTATGGGAGGGGCGCCATAGTGACCAGCGTCTTCCGCTAGAATGTTTAGAACGTCCGTTTACAGCGTTTACAAACGGTAATTTGCGATCCAAAAATGGGTTTCAATAGCGTTTTGAGTGGATTACGGAGTGTTTTTGTGACACAACTTTGAAAGGTGTGTGTTATAGCTGTTATAATCTTTCAGATCTGTGGTTCAAGCGCGAAAGAAAAACAGTATCGTAAGCCATGTTTCTTTTCGTTCTGCTTAATCACGTACCCCCAAAAAAGATATTTAAAATAAACAAAACAATATGATGTCTTTTGACTGCTTTCTTTAACAACTACATAACACAATACTTGTACTTTTAC